AAAAGTCATAATGCATATATTTCCTGTAAAATCTCCTGCAAAAACCAACTCAGTCAAGTTACACATACTTGTGAGCTTTAATTGTATTTTTATTATCACCAGTGTTATGTTAAATTAAAAACAGACAATTAGGTCCAGGTATCTAAACTTACTCTTGAAGTCATGTAGGCCTAATAGGTGTAAGTTTCAATTTATGGGCATGACATTTTTTCTTAAGTTGCAAGGTGCTTGGCTCATTACTGGACATGATACATTTTGTATTTTAGCTCAAACGCTGACAAACTGAGAGACTATACTATGTAGAAGTAGCGACAGAAAGTGAAATGCCATTATTGAATTATTGAATTATTGTGGATAATTTTTGAGATATCATAATCAAAAGGTGGGTTTAATGTTTTATTCACCTGAGAATGCAACACACTAACACACATTCAAACACACACACACAAACACACACAGCAAACGAAGTAGATACAAAATCCATTTCTGTTGATTTCAACTTACAATATGCATGTGTGTATTTCATAGAAAATGATCCAAACACTGACTCTCGTTACCAGTAATTTAAGGTAGTGTCCTTATGCTTCACTGCACAACAATGGCTAGTGCTGGCAATATAGGAATAAAAATTGGTTTTATCTTAAAACAAGTTGCCATGGCAACAAAATCTGCATGGGTACCAATGATTTTTTTTCTAATCTATGTCTGACATATGTACTGAAGACCATGTGTCGGATACGTATATAGACTATGAACGTATTTCATCTCTGAAGAAAATTGAAAATATACGCAAAAACAAATAAATTTTCCCATAGGGTTCTATAGTAATTGAATCCAAAGTTTAAATCAGAATAGCAACAAAACATGAGTACCTATCAATTTTTAATCATAGTATGGATGCAATTGTGTCAGAAAAATCTCTAAGAGATATCATAAGGACATTACCTTAAAACTTAGAAAATAATAAACATTGATTTCAATAAATGGTTATGCTCTCCACACCAAGACCTCCATAGGGAAACATGTTGCTCTTATCTGTCTGAATAAAAATGCACAGATGTCAAGTTAGATTAAGATATATCTCTCTAGTAAATTACTTTGTACGTGTATTTTTATTCACATTTAGTGTGCATATGATAAGGTGATGTTATGTCAAGAAACTATGTCTCGTCTCCTTTTGTCTATTAGGCAGAAATAAATCAAAGTCCAATTACTGTAGGCTATTCATAGATTAGAACAATACCAGTTTATCTGAACTATATCAATATGCAACTGATTTTACATAAAAATTATCAATATTTTGGACATCATGGATAGCCTATGCCTTCCTGAGTTTCATATCCCAAGCCAGCCAGTTTCATAAATTTCCACATTATCTTAAATTATACAGAGAAGAAAAATTACTATAAAATTCTTTTAGAATTTCCACATGCCTCACTGAAATAAAGATGTGGAAGTAAAAAAGAACCTGGTAACCACTGGATCTGAAACTCAGGGTAATATTGTCCATCATACTAAAATAATTATAATCAGTAAAATTACTGAAATGGCTTAATTTTCATTATTACAGTTATCAAATATTTTTAAAATGTTATCTATGTTTGTCTTACTCATGACAGGCTTAATTAGCTATCTGCAAATATATCAAGGCAAAAAATGGTTATTATTGTAACAGTTATAGTAATTACTATTCTTGAAAAGTACTGAAAATCAGCAATATGACAGTTAACATTCCAGGATGTGCAACATTTTTTTCATTTTTGTGTACTGATTTAAAAATAAATGAATTTTCATAATTTTTACATTTTGTTTTCATTCTGAATTTTTGGGTAGCTGCTATGCATTCTCTCTCTCTCTCTCTGAATCATAAATTTAAGAGGATCAAAGTTACAATTTGAATGTTATCAATAACTGTTACACATTCAAATTACACACACACAAATAGAGCAAAAAATCCTTTATCCTGGATTATCTATCATGTTGAGATCTAAATGCAACTTTTACACCACCATGTCAGCATCTGCATCTATATGTCATTAAAAAAACTGACTATTAGGAAATAAATTATCAAACTCAATGTTAAACACACACACACACTTCAGATATTCTTACTGTTAAAAAATACATTACAACTCATGAACAAATTATTAAATGATAAAATGTGAATAAATCAGCTAGACCAATAAGCTGTTTTTCCTTCATACTAGTACCTTGGTAGACAATGTTAAATAATAGACATTTTTCTTGCTGTTCAATAGAAGGAACCATATTTCAACTGAAAGGACAACTACTGATTTGCTTGGGTCAAAGTAATTTGAAATTAAAAATATTTTTTTGGTCTAAAAGTATCTTTAAACTTGAAACATGCCCTTGGTAGGGTCTGATAACTCTGATCACTAGGGTCTGATGACTTAATGTTTTAAACTTTATCTTAGCTGAGCACATCCTGTATGATAATCTGCCAAGGCACAGTATCTCCTGCTCTGTTTAGACAGATTGCTATCAAACAATGCTATCAAAAAATCCATTTGATACTAGTAGGTGAATTACTCCCTTTCACGTCAGCTTTTTAACATTTGAAATTATATCACACCCCCAATTAGTCCGTTATTCTAACAATTATATTTAGAACAATAGAACAAAAGTATTTACATAAAAATCAAATTGGAATGTCTCAAAAGTTTTGTATTTTCGATCACAAGTGCTCTTGTTCTTTGTCACCTTTAATGCTGTATGTTTTCTCATAAATTGTCTTTTATCTTACATATAGTTTTAAAATAGTAAAACCTGAAATTAAATGGACTACAATGCTGCTCAGACATTTAAATTATAGATGAAGTCTATATATTAATATCTAGAATATAAGCAGGTTTCACTTACAAAATTCTTAGAAATTTCCATTCACTGAACTTTGTCAAAGATGATAAAATTGTCCCATTCCTCTCACCAGGGGGCATCCAAAACACTAAGCATAATGATGCAGTTATTTCAGTTATCCTAGGTATCATAGGCAAGGTTGAAGGCTTGTGAAATTAACTCTGATACATTTGGACTTATAAAGTTTGATATTAATCAATATTCTACATTTTGTTTGACAGACCAAATCAAATATGAAGGTAGGTAATGCTACCATCACATTCTCCTGAACATTATTCAAACATTTTGCTTTCAGGTATTATAAATTAAGTACTGCGATAATATCTATGTTTTAGGCATACATTGTAAAATGTGTGTGAATTAATCATTTCAAAATTAGAAAGCCACACAATAAGTTTAACTTATTAATAATGCATTCCTTAAATGTTGAACAATAAAGAAATCTTTTCATTTTATAACATGTTTTACTTAATTAGGTTCTTGAACATCATCTCGCTTGTTAAGAAAATACAGAAAATAAAATTAAAAAATTTCCATTCCAGGTCTTCTTTAACATTCTATTCCTGGTCACAACTTTCTACTACAGCGGTAAGTGTATAGTTGTCTTGTTGAATAACTTTCACAATTCCTGTTCCATTTCTTTTTCTTAAATGAACTACTAGTAACCATACAGTCATGTTGTGTTCATACAAGTCCACTCTTTCTCTTACATATACAAAAGTGATGACCAAATCAAAGCTGACAAATATCTTGGATAATTATCTGCTAATCACAAAACAGTTTTAAATCTTTCATATATATATATATATATATATATATATATATATATATATATATATATGTTCTGTATGTATTCCAGGGGCAAATAAATTGTGCAAAACTGCAGCAGACTGCAGTGAAAATGGCCAAATTGGAATGCCAGACAAGATAAAATGTATCAAGGGGGAGTGTGACTGGGGAAAATGCGGGTGCGAGAGGGGATACGTACTTCGATACCTTGGTTCTGAAAAACTGATGCAGTGTGTGCCATGTAAGTTCACCATGATTCACACCAAGGTGTATTAACAGTAAAAACTTGAAAATTTCATTGCTTTAAAATTTATTAATATTTTAAATTGCGTAAATCCGACAATTTTTTTTAAATTACGTCTCCCTGACTCCTAGGTATGACGAAATTTTCAAAGCTCCGACCTTACTGGCTTTTATCCTTGTCTATCATATATTGTGGGATATTTATCACTGCTTCCTACGTCATTTTCTGGTGGTAAATAATAATCTATTTATTAGTGCATCTCGATTAAGTTATATGAACTTGCCCGAAAAGTAAGTTGAGAATTGTCTTTTCGGTAAAAAACATACCTCCTGATAGAGGAGATAAACCTAATTCCAACCTTGCATTATAAACTGGACGCAGAATATTACGCACTTATCAACATTTGTTACATGCAGGGCTTTTTCCAGGATTGGGTGTCAGGCCTTCTAAAATTACCATCTGTAACTTCATAAAAAATTATAGGCACTTTTCTATATGGGTNCCATTCTTTTCTGTATTGTTTCTCTTTACTCATTTTCTAGTATGTTCCATTTTTTCTTTTCTGTATTGTTTTACTAATTTTCTAATTTACATTCCGTAACTCATTTAATAAGCAGCTACCCTAAAATCTATTCATAAATTGTACCATTCATGTATCTATATCCCTTTTAAAAGTTTAAAAACACTGTTGACTATAAAATGCGTGATGAGGAATGGATAGAAGAAGAGTGAGGAAAATAAATACATCTATGCTTTATAAAACTGATCCATAAAAGATTCAATTGTGGTGGATGTGCAGCGGTACACCCAGATGCAATACTGGTTGCTGACCAGCAAAATAGTCACAAACTTTGGTCATAATTAAATCATTTAATCTTTTTCTTTGCATGTATCCTATATCATTTATACTTATCATTTCCCTCCATATTTTTATATTAATAGTACAGGATATTTGAACACTTAATCATTTACTTGTCTAGTCAAAAAAGTACAATCCTGAATCACATAAAAATATACCGATGAAATATAGACTCTGTATTATTTCCTAATCAAAATGATCAAAATTTCCCTCTCCACTTTTAGCCTTACCATATGGTGAAATGTGTGGTCGCAGTGGCACAGTATGCAATGGAGATGAGGGTTTAACATGTGGCAATGTATGTGACATGTCAGGCACCAGTGTCACCTGTGTCTGTGGACCCTCCCATACCAGGCAGGGGGACAAATGTTTACCAAGTAAGGCATGGTATACCATACTTTGAATATCAAACTAAAACTACTGGTTATTATATTGATTAATAGTGGATGAATTCAAGAGGGTATCACAGAAAGACTTCTATCATGTCTTCCACAGGAGAATATTTTTATTGTTATTTATTTATTTATTTATTTATTTTAGAGAGAGATTTTCATAAAGTAAAACATGCAATTCACCTTCCAAATTTACACCAAGACTATCTTACAGCATCTCACCCAGTCAAATCAAATAAAAGATGTACTTAAATCATTTCCAATACATTTTCAATAAGATATGATAAATATCCATGGCAGATTAAGACCACAGATAAGAGTAAATTTATCCTGATAAATTCTGCTAGTCTAAGATCCTGTTGTGTTTACTTCTGTTCTTCAGATATTGTGGGGTCACCGTGCAATGGAGATCTGAACTGTAAAGCACTTGGAGATAATGGGATTTGTGAAGAAGGAGTGTGCAAAAATTGTAAGTATTAATAATAATTGACACCTGGAGTATCAGCATTGTGAATGTATGTGTGCGTGTGTATGTATATGTGTGTGCATGTGTGTGTGTGTATGTATGTGTGTATGTGTGTGTGTGCATGTGTGTGTGTGTGTGTTTAATGTCGAGTACCACTGCACTGTCTCCATGAATCCCATGAGAGAGAGAGAGAAAGAGTCATGATACTACACAGTATCAAATAAAACATACACTGTACAAATCAATTGTGACAAAATTTTATCAGAATCACAAAATTATGGAACACTCAGATGACCTGTGATAACCTATATTTTATTTCTCATTAAACAGAGGTGAGAAAGTTCAAAATTCTTCAGTGTAATCACAATATGCCTATTAACCACGACATGATAACATATCAGCAATTTTTAAAAAACTATAGAATTCACATCAATGATTCATTATGCTGCCTATTATATCTATATCCTAATCACCATTTTTACATGTTTCATTTCTATTTCAGCTTCAAGTATACCTGTTCACACAGGACTCCTGCTGGTTCTTTCCACCATTGTTCACATATTTCTAAGGCTAAGCAGTTGATTACTTCATAGCTAATTTAAAACATTTCTTTTTTTCTGGTCTTATGTATGTGATATGCAGGATCAATTCAACATACATGTCAACAGAATACATTTTCTTAAAGGCATACCTTTATAAATAAATAAAAAAAAAATTCCTTAAAATTTCAACAGTTTTCTCTTCATCCAAAAGGTATAACATGCCCAAAACCATTGAGAAAAAATGTTTATCATTTTTTCCTTTTTCTTGCTTTTTTTCCTATTATGAGCACAATTCAGTACTACAAATGGATTTAAAGTTCTGGTCAACAGTTTTGGATGCGGTATATCTCGGAGATTATAGGAAAAATATTATAAACTTTCCTTGGCTATAATTATATAAAGGTCCAATGCAAACTGTAGGAAGTTAACAGAAAAATTAATGCAGACTTTGCTGTAAAATATAGATTTAGAGTTATAGTCTTTTTTAAATTAAGAAAATCATAAATGGTTTCAAGTAGTTCAATTTTTTTTATAACTGTATGAAGATTAATGTGTATGATATTATGTTTTTCTAAAATATGATGTATAGAGTTCGATAAATAACATTTATAATTGATATAATCGATTGCATAACAGAAATGTGTTAGTTATATGAAAGTAAAAAACACTATGACAAAATATGAACTATTAAACTTATGATATTAAAGCATTTTCTTTAAAAGAATGAAAAGTAAATAGAAAGTGAGTGAATTGCCTGAAGTTGAACTGTAATGATTTGTAAGTTGCAACATAAATATATCTTGAGCAAATTTCAGTTTATATTTCACAGAAGTCATCATGCATATATTTCCAGTAAAATCTCCTGAAAAAAATCAACTCAATTAAGTTACATGTACTTATGAGCTTAAGATGTATTTTTATTATCATCAGTGTTATGTGAAATTAAAAACAGACAATTAGGTCCAGATATCTAAACATAATTGTAGGTCATGTAGGACTGATATGCAGAAGTTTCAATTTATGGGCATAACATTTTTGTCTTAAGTTGCTAGGTGCTTGACTCATTACTGGACATGATACATTTTGTATTTTAGCTCAAACACTGAAAGACTGAGAGACAATGCTATGTAGCAGTAGAAAGTGAAATGCCATTATTGAATTATTGTGGATTATTTTTGAGATATTATAATTAAAAGGTGGGTTTAATGTTTTATCCATCTGACATTCACACACATTCAAACACACAAAAACACAAACACACACACCAAATGAAGAAGATACAGAATCTGTTGATTTCAACTTACAATATGCATGTGTGTATTTCATAGAAAATGATCCAAACACTGTCTCTCTTTACCAGTAATTTGAGGTAGTGTCCTTATCCTACACTGCACAACAATGGCTAGTGCTAGCAATATAGGAATAAAAACTGGTTTTATCTTAAAACAAGTTGCCATAGCAACAAAATTTGCATGGATATCTATGATTTTTTTCTAATCTAATCTCAACTATACGTGTAAAAATAATGAAGTTAAGAAAAATCTCTCACACAGAAATATCATATTATTAAGGACATTACTTTAAATCTTAAAAAATATCAACAATAAATGGTTATGCTCTCCATAGGGAATCATATTGGTCTTATCTGTCTGAATAAAAATGCACAGATGCAAACTAGTAAATTACTTAGTATGTGTATTTTTATTCTCATTTAGTGTGCAAATGATAAGATAATGTTATGTTAAGATACAGTGTCTCGTCTCTTTTTTTTTTTCTATAAGGCAGAAATAAATCAAAGTCCAATTATTGTAGGTTATTCATAGATTAGTTTATCTGAACTATATCAATACGCAGCTGATTTTAAATAAAAATTATCAATATTATAGAGATGATAGCCTATGCCCTCCTGAGTTTCATATCCCAAGCAAGCCAGTTTAATAAATTTCCACATGATTTTAAATATAACAGAGAAGAAAAATTACTATTATTAGAATTTCCACATGCCTCACTGAAATGAAGATGTGAAAGTAAAAAAGAACCTGGTAACCACTGGATTTGAAACTCAGGGTAAAATTGTCCATCATACTAAAATAATTATAATCACTAAAATTACTGAAATGAGTTAATTTTCATTGTTACAGTTATCAAATATTTTTAAAATGTTATCTATGTTTGTCTTACTCATAACAGGCTTAATTAGTTTGCAAATATATCAAGGCAAAAAATAGTTATCATTTTAACTGTAGTTATAGTAATTACTATTCTTGAAAGGAACTGAAAATCAGCAATATGACAGTTAACATTCCAGTTAACAAATGTGCAACATTTTTTTTTTTCATTTTTGTGTACTGATTTAAAAATAAATGAATTTCCATAATTTTTACATCTTGTTTTCATTCTGAATTTTTGGGTAGCTGCTATGCATTCTCTCTCTCTCTCTCTCTCTCTCTCTCTCTCTCTCTCTGAATCATAAATTTAAGAGGATCAAAGTTACAATATGAATGTTATCAATAACTGTTACACATTCAAATTACACACACACAAATAGAGCAAAAAATCCTTTATCCTGGATTATCTATCATGTTGAGATCTAAATGCAACTTTTCCACCACTGTCTCAGCATCTGAATCTATTTGTCATTAAAAAAACACATTATCTGGAAACAAATGATCAAACTCAATGTTAAACACTCACACACTTCAAATATTCTTACTGTTAAAAAATACATTACAACTCATGAACAAATTATTAAATAATAAAATGTGGATAAATCAGCTAGAGCAGTAAGTTTTCTTTCCTTCATACTACTACCCTTTTAGACAATGTTAAATAATAGACATTTTTCTTGCTGTAAAATAGAAGGAACCATATTTCAACTGAAAGGACAACTACTGATTTGCTTGGGTCAAAGTAATTTGAAATTAAAAATATTTTTTTGGTCTAAAAGTATCTTTAAACTTGAAACATGCCCCTGGTAGGGTCTGATAACTCTGATCACTGGGGTTTGATGACTTAATGTTTTAAACTTTATCTTAGCTGAGCACATCCTGTATGATAATCTGTCAAGGTACAGTATCTCCTGCTCTGTTTAGACAGGACATTGCTATCAAAAAATCCATTTGATACTAGTAGGTGAATTACTCCCTTTCACGTCAGCTTTTTAACATTTGAAATTATATCACACCCCCAATTAGTCCGTTATTCTAACAAGTATATTTAGAACAATAGAACAAAAGTATTTAAATAAAAATCAAATTGGAATATCTCAAAAGTTTTGTATTTTTGATCACAAGTGCTCTCGTTCTTTGTCACTTTTAATGCTGTATATTTTCTCATAATTTGACTTCTATCTTACATATAGTTTTAAAATAGTAAAACCTGAAATTAAATGGACTACAATGCTGCTCAGACATTCAAATTATAGATGAAGTCTATATATCAATATCTAGAATATAAGCAGGTTTCACTTACAAAATTCTTAGAAATCTCCATTCACTGAACTTTGTCAAAGATGATAACATTGTCCCATTCCTCTCACCAGGGGGCATCCAAAACACTAAGCATAATGATGCATTTATTTCAGTTGACCTAAGTATCATAGGCAAGGTTGAAGGCTTGTGAAATTAACTCTGAAACATTTGGACTTATAAAGTTTGATATTTATCAATATTCTACATTTTGTCAAACAGAAAAAATCAAATATGAAGGTAGGTAAGGCTACCATCACACTCTGAACATTATTTAAACATTTTGCTTTCATGTTTTATAAATTAAGTACTGCAATAATAAGTATGTTTTAGGCACACACTGTAAAATGTGCGTGAATTAATCATTTGGAAATTAGAAAGCCACACAATAAGTTTAACTTATTAATCATATGTTTAATTTAATTAGGTTCTTGAACATCATCTTGCTTGTTAAGAAAACACAGAAAATATGATCAAAAAATTTCTATTCCAGGTCTTCTTGAGCATTCTATTCCTGGTCACAACTTTCTACTACAGCGGTAAGTGTATAGTTGTCTTGTTGAATAACTTTCACAATTCATATTCCATTTCTTTGTCTTAAATGAACTACTAATAACCATACAGTCATGTTGTGTCAATACAAGTCTACTCTTTCTCTTATATGTACAAAAGAGAGGGCCAAATCAAAGCTGACAAATATCTTGGATAAGTATCTGCTAATCACGAATCAGTTATAAATCTTTCATATATATATATATATATATATATATGTATGTATGTATGTTTTCCAGAGGCAAAAAAATTGTGCAAAACTGCAGCAGACTGCAGTTTAAATGGCCAAATTGGAATGCCAGACAAGATAAAGTGTATCAAGGAAAAGTGTGACTGGGGAAAATGTGGCTGCGAGAGGGGATACGTACTTCGATACCTTGGTTCTGAAAAACTGATGCAGTGTGTGCCATGTAAGTTGACCATGATCAGGCCCGTAGCCAGCAATTTCAAAAGGGGGTTCTTTTTCTGAAAAAGTGGACCTTTTCCCATAAAATCTTCATGTACCGAGATCAAATTTTACCCAGATTGGACCTTTTCCCAGCAAAAGGGGCAGTTCTTTCGAACCTCCCGAACCCCCCCCCCTGCTATGGGCCTGATAATTCACACCAAGGCCTATTATCTGGTGTTACATAGAAACTCAAAAATTATTAATATCAGCCTGTATAAAAGTTTTCAAAGAAGCAGACCATCCTCTTAAGAAACTGAAATTCATGACCTTAAGCAACAATAGTGTTTTCTCTGAAAAATAGGAAAATTATGTATTACTCAGATGTCAGTAAATTTTGGTATCTAAATGTATTTCCATTAAATACAAAGTGAACTCTCTGTACATAAGAAAAACTTCTGAATCAGTCTATTCAGAATTCAGCAGCATGTCTCCATAAAACTCGACCACATCACACCAGTTCTCCACGATCTTCATTGGTTACCAGTCTCTCAAAGAATAGTTTATAAGATTTTACTCTTGACTTTTAAAATTTTAAAGGGCAACTGTTCATTTAACATGAACAATATAATAGGATTTATAACTCCTCTTAGAAGTCTTGTTCCAGTGGTCAATTTCAACTCAAGCGAAATGATACCAGTATAAACATGGTCACAGGAATTTTGAGTCTGCTGCACCAATTTTATGGTCCATTTATTAACGTAACAAATGTGTCTTTGAATGACTCTTATTACTGTTTCAAAAAGAATTAAAAAACCTTCTTATTTAAGGAAAATTTTGGTTAACTTTTATCTCTTAGTTTTAAATACTTTTATGTTAGTTTTAAATTAATCTTTGTAGTTTTAGTTTTTATATGTAAGTGTAAACATCGCTGAGACGCAAGTGTAGCACAGTTTTAAGAAATGTATTATTATTATTTTCTCTATTATAATCAGCAATAGGTTATAATAAGCACTGGGCCATGGGCATGGTTCATGTCCTTGGTAATTTTTTTATCTGTATTACATTTTCTACTCCAATTAAAAAACACACCTTAAAAATCTGCAGTACAATTTAAATTATTTAATTTTTATATTACAATTTGTATGCTACTTGCAACTGAACTGGCATTAAAGCACACCTTTAAAAATTGGCAATTACAATTTAATTTCAGTAAAAAAAGTAGGAGAGTCCTGTTCTACTTTTGATGAAACTGGTACATGTGGTGCTTTCAACTCTGAATGCAAAGATGGCCAATGTGCCTGTAAATCAGGCTATGTGAAGATGTGGGGAGGGGAGTTCTGTGGTAAACCCAACGAACTGCTGCCATCAGAGGGGGTTACAGCAGGAGACACTTGTACTATAGGATATCCCCTACAGTTGTTAAAAACACCTTCTTCATGTGGGTGTTCAACACAGGGACAGACAGTCCTGTCCATTGCTTTTAATTCAATATCCTTTCTCGGGAAAAAATATCCCCAATGTGTTCTAGGTAAGTTTTGAACTTTTTTAAAAGTAGAAAAGGATTTAATTTGGTCAGTCAGGCCTGTAGCCTGCAATTTCAACAGGACAGGCGGATGTTTAAGGATAAATGAATGCAATTTACAGCTTGAGTCTCTATTTTTCCAGAAACACATGCACATCATTCGATCCTCTTCAAGATATTGCCCAAACCTTTTCATTTTTTCTTTGTAGCAAAAATTGGTGACATGTGCATTGAAGACACTGACTGTGACAGTAAAAGTCCAACGAGTATGATATGTGATACTAAATCCAATAGCTGTTCATGTCCTCCAGGGCTGAAACCAAGTTATTATAAATCTGAATGTTTAAACCAAAGTAGGTTGAGATTTCTTCAAATGTAATGTAGCAGCACAGTATAACTGGAGACAGTCAGCATCAAATTTTTAAACTCTGTGACAGGCTACTGAAAGTCCCCAGCATTAATTTTAAAAAATTAGCAAAACAGATTTCAAGACAAGGTCAAATTCTGCAACATAGGGGGGAGGGGTCACTACTTAACCCATGATCCTTTATTTATTTTACTAATTTGACATTTATATACAGCTAAAGCATATGGGGAATCGTGTTCACCAAATTCATGTGATGCCAGCAAGGGACTTCTCTGTGGAGATACCTGTGCCACAAACAGTTCTTCAACCTGTCGCTGTGGGCCCTGGCATATCACCTCTGGCAAGACTTGTACACCAAGTTAGTATGACACTTTTGTTGATAAATAAAATTCATTTCCCATTTACCTATAGCTATGTTAAAGTATGACCTTCTGCTGCAAAGTTTTAGTTGTTTCTATGCTACCTTGTTGTATTTCTTGTTCTGTCACAACCAAAAAAATCTGACCTTTCACAAACGACATGGCCCTTTACTTAACGCAAGAACTTAAACATATGATACCTGAACAGGTAGGCTATTTCAACTTAAATGTTTGAACAGGCTTGTCATAAAATGGTATCTTAATTTTAGAGGTCATTAACCTTTTCATATTCTTATCACTTTTAGGAACAGTAGGAAGTGCATGCTTTGGAGATGGCAACTGCCAAGGCATCAGTCCTAATGCTCAATGTGTGGATGGATTGTGCCAAAATTGTAATTATATCTAACAATTACATATTGCTTAAAAATTTGTGAACAAATATTATGAAATAAGGCATAAGAATGATCTTAATTTGTGATAAAAATTAGGATAGTAGTCAGGGTAACATTATAAATGAAAAACTTAAAACCAAAGCAAATTTCAATTAAGAAATGCTTATGACTAAAATAGAAAAAAAAATAACAAAAATAAAAATAAGAAAATCCTCATACATAGAACATGCTAATTTCTGAATCTCATTCGACTGAACCTGAATGATAATTTACATTTTCACTTAAATGTCATAGGTCAAGGCCTGAAGCCAGCAATTTCAAAAGAGCAGGGGGGGGGGGTGTGCAGATTCTGAAAAAGTGGTCCTCATTTGACCCATTTAGAAAAACAGCACAGAACCTAGTTCAAGATTTTATTCAAGTTTGACCTTTTCTGGTCAAAAAGGTGGTTCAGTCAGACCCACAAACCAGCCAACTGTTCCACCTTTGCTATGTATGTCTAAATGCATTTCAATTGTGAAGAAAAAAATTTAAATGTATAAAATCACTTTTGATTTCTTAATTTCTACTTTAAACAATTTGCTAGTTTCCATAACAAGAACAAAATTGACTCAAAAATAAGAAACTAAAAACTCAAAAGACAACTTTGAAATCAAACTGTTTTTGATACAATAAACTTTGACAATCAAGGTTAAAGTGTATAATACTTAAAGACACATTGTATTAAACTTTATAAAGGTCTAACATGGATTGTATGCATTTAATATTTTGATTTCAGCTGTTGCAATCATAACCTCTGGATTGCTGTCTGCAGTGCTCCCAATTGTGTTAGCAGTGCTGTACTAGCAGAGACACACCTAAAGCAATGGCAGCCCATGAGCAGGCAAGGAAGAACATAGAAAACCATAGAAGGATGAGAGCCCGATCAAAATAGACTATAATATGAAATAAGTTCACTAATTATTCTTTGAATTCAATGTACAAAGTACAGAAGGATAAAAGTCTGATCGAAATAGGAGAAAATATCAACCAATCTACTAACAATTACTTTTCAAATGTATATAGTTTCAGTTCTTAGTAATTTTACTTTGCAGAACATTTCAACAAATTACATTTTCTACTTTTGCTCCATTGATGCAAGATAACTTTTAAGCATATATTTCCTTTTACTTATTTTGCTTCATTGATGAAAGAGTACTTGTAAACAATTATACTACGTAGAAATAAAACAAACTCTCACAAGAATCACAAAATGTTTTTTCCAATTGCTTGTCAAGACGTCATTTGTCATTTCAAATAAAAAAGAGGCACATAAAATGAAATTATTCATTAAATCTAGTGTTAAATGCAACATGGTGCAAAGGAAGATGAGTGATACAGACAATGAAATTAAAAAAGATTCTGACCTTGGCCATGTTAAAAAATTTCAGTATTATGGAGATCATAGATACCCCACTATAAGCCCTCCTGAGTTTCATATCCCAAGCAAGCTAGATTCTTCATTTATAAATTTTGGCATGCTTTAAAATTATACAAAAAATAATAATAATCTCCACATGCCTCACTGAAATGAAGATGTGAAAGTAAGAGAACCTGGTAACCACTGTTACTTGAAAAACATATTTCTCCATGGACTTGCTTTCAATTGTCTCGCATCTTATTTTGAAATCGAAAGCACACATGTGCAAATGCTGAAGATAGGACTGTCATCAGATGGACTTGACAAACAATGTGCAGATGTTTTAAGGACAATAAACAGGATATGGAAAATTCAAAATATTAAGTTGTATTTTCATTTCTGATTTGGTTAAGTTGGTCATAAATTGTTAAATTTTAAATTGTGTTATTGATTTTTGCTAGCATTTTGGGGTATTCTGACCCATAACAGATTTGGGGCTTCCATTGGATTAATAACCTTCTTTCCTTTGTGGCACATTTGCTACCTGGCAGACATGCACAGATTTTCAGAGTTAAAACATTTTTAGCTATTCTTCGGTTTTAAGTAACCTTCTATTAATTATCCTTTCCACATGTATTGTGTTTATCAAGTTACCACAGTGACTATTTATAAACTACATGACATGGAAGAGAAATGCTTCAGTGTGATGACACACATAAGAACATAAACTGTTTCATTTTCATACATGATGTAGTACAAATGATCAAACTGCTTCCAGCCAAGGGTTTTGGAAAAGAATGTCAGTCACATCAACACTGTGATTGGGCCAAGGGACACACATGTGGCAATGTTTGCCACCCTGACCAGCCTAAAAAGTGTGTGTGTGGACCAAGTCATGAAGATAAGGGAGGCAACTGTGTAGCTTGTTAGTAATGAAATTTTTAAAAAATAGTGAGTCTTAACTTGCATATCTTCCTTTCAACAGTTCATGTACCTTTCCATAGTTTTTCTCAACTTGTATTATTTTTATTATTAAATTAATAATTATAATATATATTATTAATAATTTTTCTTTGTGATTTTGACCATTAGGGACAGTTGGTTCATTCTGCTATATGGAGATGGCAACTGTAAAACTATGGGAAGAGAAGGGATATGTTTGGATGGCAAGTGTCAGAATGGTAAGTTATCAAAACCATTTGACCACTAAAAAACAAAATCTGCATTGTCTAAGCTCAACATGTGCTGACAATTTACTAGCATTTTTTATTTCCAGAAAAATATCACCTGAGTGTGTAACTGCAATAGACAAATTGTATTTCATAAATAATATAATATCTATTTCAGCAACAGCCCATCTGATTTCTGGACTTATCTCAATTGTGCTGCCTACATTGATAGTTGTTACAAACTGGATGACAAGCAATAAAGTATAGAGGATTTATACATTAACAAAATAATTTGCAAAGGCATCCATGTAAAAACATATAATACATGCTTGTAGGCGTAAAGAAAATAATTGATTTATACTGGATGATGACTTTTATAATAACAGACAGAGGCGCACACATATATGATACTGTTTATTTTTTAACATATTAACAATTATACTAATATCATAGATATTTGAGTCTTAGACTAGTTAAAATATGTGGAAGTTATAAAAGGAAAACAATGTACATCATATATACACACACCCTTCACTCCGACCTATAACTAAGAACAGACTAGTTTGATGTACACACAAGCGTGCATGCACATGTAGACGCATTTGTTCCCTACCTTAACTGACAGCTGGTCCCAAAGAAGTGATGGGCCGCCACCTCAGCATCAGGGTTTATACTGCACTTGTCAAGGAGAGGAATCAACAGGCCAGGAAACATCAGGAGGGAGTCTTGAAGCTGTAGATAAGGTTAAGGAGATAATTAATATATACATCAGTTATTCTAAATTATAGAAATTTTCCTTATTTGCACAAGATCTAGTATAATAGCTTAATTACCGCAGCAGCATAAGATCTAGAATAATAGTTGAATTACCGTAGCAGTGTAACTGAAATATAAGTTTATTTTCTGTTTTACGACATGACAATGTATACATTTATAAACAATGCCAAGTAAAAAGCTTATAACAGTATTGAGAACATCCCTATTATACATGCATATGCTGCAAATACATTTCACAGACAAAATGTATAACAACTTCCACAAGACCATGACATTTTACATGATCCATCAGTGACCAGCAGAAGTACGTCTGATGAGGGGCCATTTTTTTTCTTTTTTTGTAATGACATTGTAAATCTAGATAATTATGCAGAAGAAAAAGTATAAAGGCACTGCACCATTTGATCAGCCTCCTCTGTATCTTTTCCTTCTTGGTTGGCATTGTGAAACATGGCCAAGGGTATGGAGAAGGCAAAGTTTGGCAACTGAGACAGATTCCTGTGAGCCTAAAATAGCCAGGATGCAATGAAACTTTAATATAATAACAATATACAAATATTTCAGATAAACAGTCATATACTCGATAATAACTGTATAACTTTTTAAAACTATAAAACTTATTCAGTGAACTGAAACAGTGAAAATATGTAGGTTGACTACTTGTAGGTTATAAAGACATTAAGAGGAAATACTGTTCAAGTCTTAAAGCTGATTAGAATGTAACTTAACACTAAAAACATATATAAAAATAATTATTTTTTATATCAGACTTTACAAAAGGCATCGGACCGTCAGACATGCCTGGCAAATTTCGTCTCGGTCCGATAAAAAATCCTGTATCGTCGGACCTTATGTCCGGCGAGTTTTCAAACTGACTGGGAATGTGTAAATATAAGGAATACGTTGTTGTTTCTTTTCTGGAGGATATATTTTGCTTCATTCGGTAAGAGAGCCGAGGTGAAAATCTCGGGGAGTTCCCAGCTAATTATATATAATTTATTAACCTCAGTATCACTCACAAATATTATTTTGTGACTGGCTGGGGTTGGGGGATTCCTGGATGATGTAATGTACAGTCTCGTTTTTGTTTTCGTAATACCCCTACACGACAAAATGGCCGCAAAACATGTGCTCGTGCTATTTGCGTTTTTTACAGACTTGATCCTCTGTTTCTTCATTATCAGTCGTACACAGTACTCATGGATAAGCCTTTTGTTTAGAAAATGACGTTGTTGAACTTTAAACACTTCGTTGGTGCAAAGCGTGGCAAAAATGAAAACGAAGTGAGGAAGAGAAACAGAAGTTTACTAAAATTGGAAAGAAGGTAGGCCCTGGCAGACTTGTGATCTGTAGGAGAGGAAAATAGTGTGTGCTGAGTGTCAGGAGTACTTTAGTTATCATTTTGATCAATAGCAACATAAACGTTACAGCTTTATTACGGGTTCTTAAATTATGGAACATAAGTACGTATTTGCATGTACCCTTCACCACGAGTTGGAGAAAGCGCACATGAACTTGATGAAAGCTCACTGTCTGAGTTTCTTTTTATAAAAAAAGAAACAAAATGAAGGAGGAACTTAGACTCGGGCTGGACAGTCCCTGTCAAAGCTTCAATTGGATGAAAGAGACTGCCTTACTGTGCTGTTTCAAATGCATATGTTATTGCCAAAAACAACGTGTGAAATGGTTATCTGATTAACAGACTTTTTTATGGACATACATTTGATATTACTAGCTACACATTCTTCATACTTGTATTGTTTTTAGTCCTTGTGTCATTCCACAGTATCTTTTTCATTAAATAAAAAAAAAACAACTTGTTATGCAAGTAATTTTTTGTCTATTTTTTTTTCTTTCTTATTTTACTTTTTTACAAATAAATATATATCAAAAATTTAATATTTGATTTAATGTCAATGATTTAAAACATTAGAAAATACACATGAAAACATGAATAATGGTTCATATTTCTATTACTTTACTTCGGTCGGACAGATTTTGTTTCGGTCTGACAGAATTTTCAAGCTTGTCAGACCGAATGTCTGACAGATTTTTTGGCCTTTCGTAAAGTCTGTAATATATGATCATATTTCTAATCTTGTGCTTTGTTGATATTAAAAACAATGAATTGTTGATGGTTATTGTTACAGAATAAACTTACAAAAAGAAGTTAATAAAGTCATATATACAAAATATCATCAATCCTGCAATAGAACTTGCTGCAATCGGAAGAAGCAGAAAATAAATTATCTCAAACACAGAAATATAAAGTACATGATTTTGCTTCACTCTAAAAAATGAAAAGAATGGAACTGATACACCAGTTATAATATTAAAATGCCTTACTTCCCATTCCTGGTACATTCTGATGAGCAAGGTAAACTGCTCTGCTCTTAGGGCATAGAAGTCAATCATTAACAATGCACACAATGGATCACCTTCGGGATCTAGACTGAAAAAAAAAAATAATAATATTATTAATAATAATAATTATATATATATATATATATATATATATATATATATATATATATATATATATATATATATATATTTTTTTTTTTTTTTTAATACTCACTTGCTTTTTTTTAAATTTTCATAACCATACTGAATCAGAAAAAAAAAGATTCAAAATAAATATAATATATCATCTATATATCTATAACATCTATAACACTGGTAGCCTGCATGTTACTTGTTACATTCATCACAAGAATTAAATCAAATTGTTAGTCATATTTCAACTAATTCAATTTCAGTGCTTCATGGACTTCATATTTTTAATTTGCCTTGCCATTTTGGTCACATACCTTAGTAACAATTTACAAAATTCCAAGGCTGTTCTATAACATCCCCTCTTTCCAACAAAGTGTAAATGTCTGAACAGAGCCAGGTAAAACCCCCTGAAATACAGGAATGAAACTTTCAGTTCAGAGTTCAACTTTGTGAATTTAAATGTTCAACAGAAGACAGAGAAAAATTTACATTATTCTTTCAACAGAAGAAAATATGTGCTTGTTTAATCATAAATGCATAAAAGGCCGCATTTCATAATATATAAGGTACCTGTTTTCATTCCGCCTGTAGTCTAACCTGCAGTTACCCTGGGTTAAACTGAACAAAGGGTGGAAGTTGACCTCACAACACAGAAGGGCTCTCTCTGAAATGAGTACAATTCAATCATGGCTTAAAGCTTACAATTAATCCAGCCATTGATTCACTAGCTACAATCCTTCTGCATGTCTGCAGGAAAAGAACTAAAATGAGGAGGGGGATAAGAATTTTTTTACAAGGAGTTTACTGAATATAATAGGTGAGCTGAAACTGAACGCAGAACACATTTCATTAAGCAACAGTAGGTCTCTCACTGATATATACAATTCAAGCATCATGCCTCACAAACAATAATTGTGGTATAACTTAGAACCATGCATTAGTGATTGCAATCACCAAATCAATGACTTAATAAACTGCAACTCCACTGTCTGGTTGTAAAAACACTGAACAAGAGCATTGCAGTATTAACTGCAAACAATTTGTGACTTTTCATAAATTAGCTCCTTGTACAAATTGTTATTGCTTCAACACCATCCCTCATTTTCAGTGATAGCCTATTTGGGTCAGCAAAGTACTGAAACATTTATTGTCAGTAAACTGTACTTAAAATCCTTTTAGACCATATATTGAGAAGTCTTCTTATTAATAGCAATCTATGCCAAACCCAAACATTTAATTCTACTTCAGGATGTTAGTTTCTCTCTGATTTGGTTTAATTGCAAATTTTGAAAATTTGTGACTCTCAAACATAAAAAAAAATATTCTCAGAGCGAGAACATATCCATGCTACTTTATGGCACTTGAGCTTTACTTTATATTTTACCCAATAATTCTGCTGCCATTTGCATATCTTCACTCATCTTACACACATCACTGAGTTGTAGTAGAGAGTCTATGTGGTAGGGCTGAAGATTGAGCACGCTCTGGAAATACATAATATGTTACAACTTGGACTAAGAAAATGTCAGATATCAGTAATTCTAATTAGTCAAACTGAAAAGTGCAATACTTAAATTTTCATCTCAAGCAATATATATTAAATAACTTGTACATTTTACTTACATTTATGAACTATTCTTCAACATTTTATCCTGGTTAAATACAATTCTTTATTAATATTTTTTCATATTTAATACTGTATTATAAGCCAAGGCAGCTGAACAAAATAAAGAACTAATTCAAAAAAAAGGGTTACATCTAAATGTGTCTACTAATGAATTAGCAAGATACTATCCATAGCACACCAATGTGCTTTGATATTCACAAGCTTGAATGATAATACATGAATAAACAAAGCCTTCAAAAAGACACATACCACAATATTTTCTGGGTTAAAGGATTCTACAGCTTCTAGGAATTGAAACTGAATTCTCTGGTACTCTTTGGAGTGATCAAAAGTAAAGTATTGGCAACCATTTTTAGTTTCTATCAGCCTCATAGAAAGACCTGGGTATAACAAAAATGAAGAAAAATACCATTAGATAATGTAAGTGGAACTCTCATATGAGTTACCAGTGAATCAAATACTCTTAATGAGTTTCTGGATGTCTACTAAAGCTGTAGTCAGAGCTACCAGTGAATCAAATACTTTAGTTTCTGGGTGTCTGCTACATCTGTAGTCCAAGTGACCAGTGAATCAAATACTTTAGTTTCTGGGTGTCTGCTACATCTGTAGTCCAAGTGACCAGTGAATCAAATACTTTAGTTTCTGGGTGTCTACTACAGCTGTAGTCCAAGTGACCAGTGATTAGTAACTAAGTTGAAGGTCCAGACAGCTTACCTATCTTGCCAATGGGGGGCCAGTTCTCCCTGGGTTGAGCAAGCCAAGTAGACCTCTGGTAACTTCTCTGGCCACGCCCTCCACGTCTCCTGGTATGACATTTAATGACACAGCTTTTAAACAAAGCATTTTAATAAATGAATATTATCAAACACAAGCCAAAATAAATTTATACCATCAGCTTATGTCAGTCGTCACTCACATCAGTCTGATGGTTGGCCCTCAGCAAACAGTATGAAAGTATTTCGGCTTGTGTTTGATAATTTTCATTTATGATCCAACTACTAAACTAATGAACATTTTTGCTCAAAGCATTTTAAATTAAGCACTGTAACTTGCAATGCCAAGATGCTTCTTGTATTTTCTTTTACATTTGACATATTCTGTAGCTTTATTTATTAATCATTTATTATTTACTACTCAATTTTTAAAAATCTTTTTTGCCTAAATTCTACTTTTAGTTATATATCCAAATGCACTGTAATATTATAAGTTAATTATTATTATTTTTTTTATTTCAAATTTTGAAATCAAATCACAAAAAATATATGCCAGGAGCTTGGGCGATACCAAAAATTAAATTTTTTAATTTTAACTTTAAAAAAAAGTTCTTTTAAACTATTCTTTAAACCTTGAATTTCATGATAATACTGTTATTATTATAGCAACAATTCATGAAAGTACCTCTGTTCTGTTTGAACCACTCTAGAACCAAATATTCTCCTCATTTCATTCTCAGAATTCAAATTTCTGCAAATAATTAAATAATTTTGAAACAAAAATTATAAAAAAACAACTCTAAGTTAATATAATAACAAAACTAGTAAATTTTCTTACCAATAATAATATATTATATGTAAAAAAAATTCTCTCAGTTAATCATTTCTTTTTCCCTTTTTAAAGCAAACAAGTAAAGAATTCATGATCAAATAATATTTGATCATTATACTAATACTAGGTTGAAAACAACTAGGATTCTACTTTTTTTTGCATAATCAAATCCAAAAATCACAGAATGTTTAAAAAAAAACTAAGTTCATTTAAAAATTATTACAATTATTTTTATCGTTAATTCAAAGTTTTGAAGTCACTACCTGTGTTCAACAGTGAGTAAGGCCCTTGTGTCCATGTGAACATGGCTGTTGTCACCACCAGGCTGTGAAACTGGCAACTCTCCCAAGATTTCATTTACTTCTCTGACACTGGCCTCTACTTCATCTGTCACCTAGCAATGTTTCATAAATGAAAAAAAAATTGTTTACCAACATAAAGATACTGAAGGTGCCCAATGTAAGATTTTACCTTGAAAAACTAATACTTAATGAATTTTCCTGGGTGAATGGCATTTGATCCTCCTTTCCTGACACTTGTCAAGTTGACATTAACTCTGAAACAATCTGGGAAAATTAAGAAGTTCTTCACCCATATTATAAGTTTGCTTTTAGAAATTCCTCCAACACCCTGAGCACTGACTTCTGATATAAGTACGATTAATAACTGTGTCAAAACAGTGGTTTATGATAAATTATTTTGGACAACACAAATAAATGGCAATTATCTGTTTTAAATGATCAAAAAGCATCACATGCACTCTTCTGTAGATAATTTAACAAGTGGCTAATGTGTGCTTAATGATTGTTTAAAACTATACTCTTTGTTCCATTAAGTGTTAACAATTTTTTCTTTAATTCAATTTCTGAACATAAAATTCATAACTAGATTTTCAAATGGTACATACACTATCTCAAATGGGTATCTTATAATTTCCAGTTACTCTTATGACGTTACGGTTTTTTACACTGACTTACACTACAAGTAGTTGATAAAGATATTGATAGTTACAGTGCCTCTTAAAATCAAATAATAATAAATAATCAGAAAGCTTGGGACTACATTTTCTACCTCCTCCTTATGTTTATTATCATCTGGATCGTGCTGCTTCTTTTTCTTTTTTTTCTTCTTTTTTTTCTTTGTCTGTTCCTGGATGGAGACCTTGGTGTCTTTGTCTAGTACTGGTAAGTGGGCATCGCTTGCTTCCACAGCATCTCCTTCCTTGTCTTCATTATTTTCATCATCCACATCATCATCATCTGCATTTAACTGAAGGTGGGCACAGATTACTAAAAACATGACTTACATAAATTTACCATCTATTTGGTTAAAATCAGTGATGCCCCCCCCAAAAAACACACACACACACACACACACACACTCAAACAAAAGCCAGCACACATAGCATGAGCTGGTAGACAAGCATATGCATCAAACCTTCTCATAGCTCCATTGACCAGATTACTTGTCAGCACACAGGACTGCCAGTTTTGGAGATTAGAGGTAATTAAGATAAATTTGGAGAGCCCCAGCATTGCAGTGGGTGCACAAACTGGTGGTCATTTTACACTTTTTGAGGCCTCTGCTTTCATGGATTAGCACAGCGTACAAATGAAAAATCGTAAACAGGAATGCTAATTAACGCATAAATATTGTGTTAACATACAACACACACACGTAACCTCAATCTGGATAGAAAATTATAACTAGTTTTAATATTTGAAATTTCTGTTTGACACACAAAGGGTACTTTCAAAGATTTTGTACACCATGCTTTAACTCACTATATCAAATGGATTTGCAGGGGCATCTGGCTTGTTCTTCTTCTTTTTCTTCGTAGTACTAGCCGTCAGTTTTATTTCTTCATTTCCACTGTCATCGTCACTTATCTCTGGAACCACAATATCTGACCCCCCTTGAAGTTTTCTTAATGCCCTAGTAGACATGGTTCAATAATATCCAAAACGAAAACCGAAAAGAGCACCGGAGTCACTTCTTGAGCAGACGTGTTGACTCCGGAAGTTGAGAGCGGATAACAGGCAAGCAGTTAATGCCTCTGGTTTCTTTCTCATCCTTTAAGCCCTTACAAGCAAATTTAGGCAAAATATGTGATGAATACTAGGTGTATGTTTAGAAAAAATGTTTGTTTATTATTATTTTATTTTTGGTGATGTAAAGTGATTTGTTTGAATAATTTTGTCCATTCAAGAGGAGAAAAGCCCGCAGCCCGAAACAAACATGGCTGCGTCCTTACCACGAGGGAGAGGGATTTTAGGTGGATTTTACCAACTTTCGTCACAACATGGTGTTGTTTGTAAATGTAACACAATTCGCCCGCTCCATTGCTCAATTGTTCTAATGAAAAATAACACAATGCTGAAAAAAGCAGCAAAGATGGTCGAGAAAACAGTAAAGGGTAAGAAAAAGTAAGTTGCAATGTGAATTAGTTGATTTGCCTGTGTACACTTAGCTACCTTCATTTTTCCAGCCTACATCCTTCCGTTCGTAAATCCGATGTATGAAGTTACCAGAATCAGACTTAAACACCTCTGTTGAATGAAGAAAAAAAGGCTCAGAAAGAACCTGGAGCCATAAAAATATGCGGGGACTCTGCAAAAGTCCGACTTGACTTCATAGTCTTAATGCGCATGGCTCCTTTTTCGTATACACCATTTTATCATCTCCAAGAATGGCACTAGTTGTGACGGCTTTTCCGTCATCTGCAATAATGTATCTTGAGAAGTAATAGATACAAGCATAGAAGTACTTCTATGATACAAGTCATTAGAAAACTTTATTATATTTTTGTAAACATGTATACTGGTCAGTATTAAAACACTACATTCTGTAATTGTTTCAAGCTCAAAAGTAAACTTTGTTTTGACTTATTTTTATTGTTCGTTCGTGGTCGAAAGAGGCCATGAAATGTCATGTGTAGTGAAACTTTAGGTATTTTTACGCCTCATTTTTGAAGAGGAGTTTCTTGTGTCAGTCAAATGCGGTAAGCACACCGAGCTGGGACTTGAGATTCTTTGTGAAACATTCCTAGATGATGCAGCATAGTCGACCTAGCTAGGTCACTCAGCTTCAGCTAGTCAACTGCAGATTTAAGATTCTTTGTGGAATGGGGCCAGGATGATTTTTTTACACGTACTGTTTATAATACATAAAAATCAGATTATAAACATAGATGGTGGCAGTGCCATGACATGCAAGTTTTGTGAATTTTGGTTTTACATTTGTGAGTCTTGGTTTTTTGTTGTTTTTTTTTAGGATAATTTTTACACACACTAGTACTGATTATAATATTCCCATTCATATTTTAGGGTGAAGAAGTATAAATGCACAAGGTGCTAAACATAAATAATAAATTTATTCAGCTATTTTATGTGTGTGTATGTGTCTGTACAAAATATATCTAAAAAATTTCAATATTGACCACATAATTAAAAATCAAACAATAATGATAATAACAAAACCCTGAATTATGAGACATTAAAATAAAAAGTCAATTTGAAATTTCAAACTTTTTTTAGTATAGAGGCTTTAAATGATGTTAAAATCAACTTCAAACTCAAGTATCCTGAGAGCAGTATTTGTAGCCATGTATGGAGGTCACGTGACGAAATTTGTCGTGCATGTCAGATGGTCCAACACCTTTCATAAAGTCTGGGTGTAATGACTTTAAAAAAATGACCAAATCCTCAAAAAGCTGTCTTATAATAGCTAACACACACACACACACACACACACACACACACACACACACACACTCTCTAGTATATAAATTATGCGTGTGTGTGTCACATCATCAAGCTCCCAGTTCACATTCATCGTTTATCTCTTTCAGGAATAAAAACTGGTTTCCTGACCACATAGCCAAAGTAAGTGGCATAGTTGTTGATTTAAGACTATTTTCTTTATTATATTTATGTTGGTTACAAGATTTAATCAGTATTCATATTGTCGCAAGACTTATGATGTATATAAAGTATAGAGTGATTGAAATGGTAAGTTTAATAAAAGTGTCTTAAATAGTCTTTAAATGGTCTGTATAATTAGTTACTGTATGATTTATTTTTATTTATAAGGGTAAAATATATTTGAATAATGACCAAGTTGAACACATTTTGTAAAATGGTAGAATTAACTCAAGTACAGGTCTATGCCAAATAAATTTATTTTCTAATATCTTAATTCCAAACAAAATCAATTTGTTAACACACTCAGCATTGGCACTAGTGGTACACATGGTTTTAGTCCCAACCTGTTTCGTCTGCCATATCCATCGGCTCCGCCACTATGTCACCATTGCCGCTTCTCCTAGACTACAAGAGCCTGTGTACCCATCTCTTGGATTTAGGTCACATATAATCTCAACTCATTCCACGTAAATTTTGGGCTTTGCTGGTGCAAGGGTCTAATTTGCAAAATTGAATGCTTAATATCTCCCAAACTGAAGGAATAATGGAAAAAAATTTCTACAGATGGCTGAATGAAAGTCATATGTGGAGATTTCAAATATGCCCTTGGATTTGACCTTAGACCTCTAATTCGAGGTCAAACGGGCCAAATTTTTCTTAAATAGGAAATTTTTGCAAAAAACTTTTATGTTGTGCGTTTTTTTTAGAAACTACACAGACCAGACCTATAATATTATGGACAGGTGTTACACTTAGGGTCATCTTTCATCTTCATAAGTTTGGGGTCAATCAGTGCATTTTCATGGGGAAAGCAGCCATTAGATGCCGAAACAGAAAACTCTCTAATTCTGGAACTGTTAATGCTAGAAACCACATAGAGCTTGTCATGCACAACACTGGAGGTGTGCCCTTTTTTGTTTTCCATAGGGTTTACAAGTTTCGCTATATCAAATAGTACAATGTCGCAATATTAAGTGGCGAAAATAAAATGTGACCTAACTCCAAAATTAGCAGAGATAGGCCCATAGTTACTTTTGAACTTGAATAGGCAGTCATGTACTGGCAATCTAACTGTGACCTTATAATTGACCTTTGGCCTATTTTTCATCATCCCCTGAACTTTGCAAATTTTCTTTCCCTTATATCTCCAAAACTGGCAGAGATACACCCATAGTTACTATTGAACCTGAATAGGAAGTCATATACTGGCTATCTAACTGTGACCTTAAAATTGACCTTTTGCCTACTTTCCACCGTGAACTGAACTTTGCAATAGGAAGTCATATACTTGCAATCTAATTCAAAGTTATCTAAGTTATCTTTATTTTCACCTGCTCCACAAGCAGGTATAGCCTTTTGATGAAGGACATATTCTTCTTCACCCCTCACATCACTTTTTATTTTGTATTTCCAGAGCAAGTCTCTTATGGAAAACATGAACACCAGAAGTTCCTCCACCGAACAAGCAAAACAGAAAGCTCTCAAGGCAGCAGCCAACATGCATGCTCACATCTCTGATATCATCAACAGTGGACAGCTTGGGGACGAATTGGAAGATGTGCACATTGCTAAGGTTAGGCACAATGAGTCAGGGTCTGAACTACCTTTACTAAAATTTCTTACAGGATGTCCTATAGGAGAAATTCTATCAATTTTGAAAATGTCAGGGTGGGAGATTTTTCTCTTATCTTGTCAGACAAGAGATCCACCCACCCTCACCCACTCTTAAACCTTGCCTCAGAACTAAGTATCAGTGAGTGGAAACCAGCCACAGTTGATAATAGCTGTGAAGGTGCTGCACTTATTAATTGCATGTTACAGGGTGACCCAAAAAACAAAACCCATGAAAATTTTATTAAATCCTGTGTCTCTAAAAAAACTGCCAATTTATCAAACACATTCCTCTTTGGGGATTGCCCTGATATTGGCTGTGATTGTAACCTTCAGTTCACCAATTGTTTGGTGCACTTTATCTCTGAGATATACCCACAGAAAAAAAATTAGGGAGGGGGGGTCAAGTTTGGTGAATTCCATGCTCACTCAACATCACATTTCGTACCAATCAGTCTCTCCTGAAATCACAATGTGGCAGTACTGAGGAAGTTTTGGACATCACTGGGAGGATTCAGAGGGATAGATCAAGATGGAAAGTGGTACCACACATCAAATGACTCCACAGCCTGGCTGAGAGAGAGATTTTATTAGTGACTGATCAGCGGAAATTGTAACATTGAGTGGGCACTGCATTCGCCAGACTTGAACCCACCCCCAGATTTTTATCTGTTTGGGGCACCTCAAGTACAATTATCACCAGAACAACCCTCAAATGATTGTTGTCCTGAGGGCAGCAATCAC